GCCTAGTAGCGTGCAAAGCCTGCGGCCTCGCCTAAAATTGTCGGCTTGGAAAAGGCAGGGTACGGGTGGCGTTCCTTCCCCCCCCCCCCCCCTAGCGCTCCAACAATACTGTGTAATGGCTATTATTTAATTAAATACGGAGCTTATGAAAGTGGCGAAGGCGTGGCTAGCCGTTGGCAGGGGCAACCGCCGTCCAATGAAACTGCAGCCCTTGGCGAAGGCGTGGCTAGCCGTTGCCAGGTCCAATGAAAGCGGCGAAGGCGTGGCTAGCCATTGGCAGGGGCAACCGCCGTCCAATGAAAGTGCGTATGGGCCAAAGTCCACACACACACACACAGACAGACAGACATGAACGATTTTATATATATAGATTAGATATATGCATTATATACAAATATTGATGTAAAATAGTATTATTTTTTACTATCTTTATAACCGAGTAAATGCATATTAAGTTTAATATATTTTAAATTAATAGCCCAGTATTGGCAACACGCAATTTGCCTGTGTGTATAAAAAAAAAACCTATTCATCACTTAATTATCTTCACTCGTGATGGCTAACGAGGGCACTTTGCAATGCCTATGAGTGGACTGTGGCTAATTAACGCAGGGGCTGAGGTTGTAGGAAGTATTGGATGCACTGCACCGTGGGAAAAGGAGTGAATTACTGAATTAATATTAAGGTAGGCGATGGCTGAATAACCTATGTCAGCTTAATGACTGCAGAATGAACAAGAGTGAGGTAATACATGTAAGAGGTCGTGAGTGGTGCTGAGGGCAGTTCGCAATGTGTATATTTAATTATCCATACGAGGCATGAGGGAGATGCTGCTGCTGGTTGGCAAACTGGAATTGCAATCCAGAAATCGCAGGTTCAGTTTATCCTCCTGGCATTTAAGCAATGGGACACGTTCCTTAACCCTTTCTCATTCCGATGACGTGCGTGTACGTCATCGGTTATATAGACATACACGCACGTACGTACCTGTACGTCATCGGAACGGAATCGAAAGTTTAAGGCCATGTGGGAGGGTGTGTGGCACAGTTTGGCGCCAGCTGGAGTGCGGTCATGTCAATACAGTTCTCTGCGGTGAGTACAATGTCTTTAAAAGCAACGGCACTACGTCTCTATATAAAATTAATGCTAACCGCTCGCACGTTCCGAGATTCTGTGGTGAACGGGACCCACCCTGCAACTTGCAGTCGTCTCGGAATGGGAAAGAGTTCAGTCCTCCAATCGCTGTCCACCCAGCAGAATAAATGAGTACACCATAGTTAGTGGATCCGTAGGTCACGTGTGCTGGAGTTTGGGTACTCTAACCTCCTTCAACGTGGAAGAGTAGGCTAAATACCCTCTAGAGGTGCTCTCTAGAGCTCCCACTAGTGGAGGCCCTGTCTGAAAATGCAGAACTGCACCTTGAACTTTTTGTTGGCATGAACAAGAGCTATTGCAAACACGATTCACGTTCAGCTGATTTGTTCCGCTGCTGGATATATGTGATTGTGAGGGTTTGTATTGCATCGCAAGAATATATACTGTATTGCATCCCATGCCATTTGGAAAATACATATCCCTGTAATCTTAAATAAGGCATTGAGAAGCACTATATGCCAATGTACGAAGAAGTTGGGTTCATATATTCAGGAATGGGGTCTTCACTGGATATCAAATACTATTATATATTTGCTGTGTTTGCAGCTGCAGACTCTCATCCCTAATGTATGAACCTGGGCTGCATGACATTGAGCTTTGGATCATACCCAGTGTGATATGCGGGTGTTTTTTAGTGTTGCACAATAGGTTAATGCGGTGTGATTTAAACTGGTGTGATTTTATTGGAACGGAGGAAGTTATATAAAAATTATATGAAGCTTCTAATAAAGAGTTGAGTCATTGAAATGATTGGTTGATGTGGCTTTTTATATATATTATATTTTTATCAAAGAAATTCGAGGATAAAAAGTGCAATTACGATGCATATTTCATTAAGACGCTGCCATGGATATTGAGTTACGTTTCATAATTTTTGGGACACCGTGAAAAGCCTTTTAGCGATCTCCTTGCATTAAGTGATGGAATAAATTCCATATTTATTTCAATTGAAAAGTCAAGGCTATATATAGTATACACTGGAAGGCCACTGTAATATATATGTTGCTGTATCTTATAATGACATTTATATCACACTTTTCACATCTACTTATTGCATATAACTGAATTTTAGTTCGGTGAAATGGTGCCTGTATTCACACCCACTCATGTAGGGTTTTTTTTACTCATTACAGCCACAGAATGGCGGTGAAATGCTTTAGATTCAACAGCAACGAAAATGGCAAATGTTAGAAAAGGTATCAACAAAATATCTGAGCGATTAAGTAATTAACTATAACGGGCACCACATCCGTGAGGAAATGTCAAATACAATTGGGAGTTTATTTAAGTCATATTCTGAAATGACTGCAAGACCGTTATGTCTTAATTAGGCCCTCTTAATACCACTAAGATCTATTCAAAATTATACTAAAGTTGACCACTTATGTGAGCAATCGTGAATAGCATGTTACTGAAGCAATTAATCAGATATCTCACATATCGAGGCCTACATAAAACATTTATGAATAATAATTAAACCAATTACGAAATTGGAACATTCCCTTAAACAAATGCAACAATAAATGTTTGAATTTGCGTAATCTGGCCTGGTAATAGATGCCCATACACTCTGGGATATATGCTTCGTTTATAATTAAAAGTTGAACAATGTATCAGTCAATCAAATACAAACAGCAATTCATATAGTACCTTACTCTCCGATATTTTGTGTTTGCCAATGAAATGACTAAGCAGTCATGTAAATACCTGGTGTACCAATAGGCAGATGTAATATCCAGGTAGACTTGCATACGTAGATAAAGGATGTCGATTTGTGTTGACGTTGTATGGTTGCCAAATTGGGAATGCACACGGATGCTCATTGCAGTGAATCTATTGCACTCCTTTGTGTAAATCTACCACTCACACTCATCGCATGTCGCAAGGTACACAGCGTCGTATATCCAACTCGCTGCGAATGTGTGAAGAGGTTGCATTTGTGAACATTCATAGCAAGTGACAGTTAAACCACCATTGCACAAAGAGGTTACTGGACAATTATGCAGCACAAAACCGTGCCAAACATGGGGACAATGTTTGACTGTGCTTTAAAAGCAAGCGAAACGTACGCCGACATTAAGGACACTTTACGGTATTTACTGCGTGTGAAAAGGTTGCATTTGTGAACATCCATAGACAATTAGCTGCACCCCACACCAACACGGCACTGGGTGTGAACGGCGGATATATCCTGGGGGATTCGTGACGTTGCACTGTGCCCTAAACCAGTGAATGAAATGCTCCCGGGCAGATTCACTGCACAGATTTGATGAGTTTGTTGCACGTGGGGTCAATGATTTAGAAATGAAATGTGGTGGTGGTGGCGAGGCTAATAGCTCATTGCAAGAGCCCATATATAGTCGTAGGTCTCCCAACTATGATAATAACAGTAATGTGCTGACATCTTCTGAATGCATGATGGCAGGTCTGCCGTGTGGCAGTTGTTGATCGGAGCTGTTTAACGGCATGGGTAGAGGTCAGACCCCATCAGGAAACCAAGACCTCCCAGGCACGCTTGCTGTGTCATTAATCCTATGGCATTATTTGCCCATAAATCTAGACCACAATTATAGATATGGTGACGACTGCACCTCCCATATGTTGCGAAATGGATTTTGATTGATCAAGTTAGGAAAAATGCATTTCTTTGTCACTGATTGATGGCGTGTGGCTGCCAGCACCTTCCATGCCAAATTGGGTTTTTACCATGTGATGTCCTAGGTGCTGTTCACCTTGTTCGTTGCCATCTGAAACAGTTATATTATGTACGAACCTATTCTGCCTGCCGTGCATTCGTTTGGAAGCTTTGCGTATTTGATTGAGCGCGTGTTACTGTGGTTTTTCTATTTTGAGTTAATGCGTTTGCTCAAGCTGCATAATTGTGTTGTGTCGCTTCGCCTTACATTGTCATTTACTAATTTAATCTAATTATAATTATATGTCACAAGGTGTAACGCTGTGAAAATTACGTTACATGAAAAACGGCAAGATACGAATGATCGATATACAGTAAAAAAAAAACATTGCAGCAGAATTTACGATTCTCTTGTGATATTCACACAATGCCAGCAGGACCAGCGCGAACGACTCAGTTGGTGCCGATCATGACCAACTCCTCGAGCTCGGCTAAACACCAAACATCCTTTTCCACTTTTTGTCCACTGCCCATCGTTATTTAACCAAAATTCACTTCTTACCACATTCTTATGGGTCATAAAGGGCCATTTAGAAACCTATATGTTTTTTCTTCTTGGTTCTTTCGATAAAGTCACGTAGAAGGGAAGTAATAAAATAATAAAATAAAACATAATAAAATAATTCTCACGACGTTTCGGCCACAACGCAAGCAGCTGTCCTCAGGTGACGGCTGCTTGCGTTGTGGCCGAAACGTCGTGAGAATTATTTTATTATGTTTTATTTTTATTATTTTATTACTTCCCTTCTACGTTACATTACCGAAAGAACCAAGCAGATGAATTCCTGCAGTCACGAAACCTTTAAATCGAAAACTATATGTTTTTTTTTACTATCAAGTATTTGCGTGCGCAATTTGTATCCACCTCGCTGAAACTGCCGTCTGTAATTCTTTAAAAACGCGGACACATTTATTGGCAACGTGCATACTACTTGTAACGAACGCTTTTACAGCCGTGCTCATAGCTCTCCAATGTGTCATCGAGGTGAACCGCGTGTTCGTTCGGCGCTGTGTCCAACGTTTCGCACCACGTGCCGGCTGGGAGCTTCTTTGGGAACATGATGCGCGGTACGCGTCGGAGATCAGAAGCGCTAGAGCGACGACGCAAGTGTCGTGAAAGCTGCTGCAAGTGCGGCCACCGTCCCCGCACCTTCTCCCAGGCAGTCCCGCAGCTGCTCGTCCCACTCGGCGAGGCTGCGCGGCGAGTCGAAACCCAGCAGCAGCACCTGGGTGAGGGAGATGATGGCCAGCACGTGGTCGCATCCCTCGAGCGACAGGCCGCCCTGCAGGCCGCACACGCTCTCCAGGAAGAGGTCAGCCCTCTCCCGCTCGCTCTCCAGCCTCTCCTTCTGCTTGTCCCTCTCCTTGTGCCGCTCGCGCTCTCCCTTGCCTCTCTCCTTCTTGCTCTCCACGATGCAGCTGTCTCGCCTGTCCTTGAAGGCGAGGAGGTTGAGGCAGTCTGCGGTCGACATGGTCATTTGAAAACAACAGACTGGGGGGATGTGCTCACAATTTCCGGATTAATTCGAAAAAATGTCCCCCAAATTGGGACGAGGCACGAGGTTCTGGAAGATATTCATGTTTTGTGTCACGGGAAATAGCTTCACGTCACTTCGCTTTCATGTTTTTTTACCTCTTAAAGTGATGTCACGTGGCATCAGGCGTTGTGACTTTGTTAGTAGAGCGACACGTTCAGTTTGCATCTTTAAAAATGGAAAATTTTGGAACAATCTTCCCTACAACACAGAAGTATAGTATGTGGGAACTTGAGTATGATCAAACGCTGAGGAGGCTTTAATTTGCATGCATCAGGAGCAGGTATTTGGTTGGTTAATTGGAATACAGAGGTTAATCGCTTCATTGAAATACAGTTCAATACACTAGTACGGGGCTTTTAAAAGAACCAATATTTTTCTGGCAGAAGCAATGCATTCAATTAAGCCTGCCTTGTGGACAAACAAAGGCCTGCAGTTCCATTCTAATTAAGCAATTAATGGTCCGTACAAAATGATTAAATGTGGTAAAGCAATCTGAGTGGGCTCAGCTCCCCCAAAATGTAGACACGAGCACTTGTTCGATATGTGCACTCATAATAGTTATATATTTTAAAATATATAATTTATACACAAGTATACTAGAATGTAATTATTTCAGTGATTAAAACTATATATATTGTTCTTACTATTAGTACTTAAGGCCAATGTTTACGAAAATAATATCCCAATAAACATTACTCTTACAGATAAAGCAATATGTGCACATGGAAATGTCAGATATTTCATTTGTTCCACAAATGCAACAAGGTCAAATATCGTGACAGAAAAGCTTCTATGTGGTATATATAGATAAATTAGCAAAATGATTTTGCTGCATTTCCATATACAATGCATCACTGATTTACCCAGTCCGTAGAAAATTTATTTTCCATGTTAATTTTAGCACAGTCATTCATCTTTCAGCTGCATTTACGTAACTTGGAATATTTCCTGCGTTGCTAATAAAATGTTAAAACAATTGCATTTCACCTGTCTAATGATCACAAATGATCACAAACGAAAAGCCTCAATGTTATTCAGATTAATATTTTAGTGACAAAAAACATTTGGTAATATTTCACATCATGTAAAAGTGTTGACTGCCAAGCCCTCTCTTTGCCTGTTCCTTTATTCCTCCCCCGTGCCCAAAAGCATGATTAGGGCCACCAGTGCATTATTGGCGCAAACGTTTTCCATGAAGCTTCCCAATCTTGAAATCCAACTTTTGGTATACACTGACAGTGGTGGTGGCATCTGAGTGATATTGGATCACTGTGAGACCATATAACCCACTGGTTTTCCAGATGGCCCTCAACATAGGACATGTACACTGGGTTTTTTTTCTGTCGCCGCTAGCATAGTGTAGCTTGTGAGGACACGGGGCTGCTCGTCTTCATTTCGACCGTTGTCACCAGACAAGCGCTAACGTGCGGAGCAATTGCTCGGTTTGCTCTATATTTCGCGTGCTAATGTTCCACGAGCGCATTCATATATAAAGAAGCGTGCTCTACCATTTTTCGTTTCGGTTAAAGACAAAAGGATTGGCGCTCCTCTTATACAACTAAAACTAAAGTACACATTTGTACCCGTCACAAGTAACATACGTTACTTTGTCGTGAATAATTGAGCAAAAGAAGACAAAATAAAAAAATAAATTTCTAACGGAAGTCGACATCCTAAATGGGCCATTATGCAAGCCACGCAGTGAGGGTGAGAAAAATACAGAGCCCTTCAAATCTAAAGTGGCAAATGGCCCACAGGTGGGTCATATGAACCCCACAGAGAAGGTGCCATACGACCCACATGCGGGTCGTATGGCAGTCAACGTGTTCAATTACACAACGCCAGTACATCTTATTACGATTACGTTCGAATGACCTAATAGACATGTGTTGCACAACTCCACTTGCTCAAGGCAATCACGTGGTCTTCTCAACATTATATTTTTTAACATGATCGTGTTGTCACGTTATAGACTCAGTGTAATCACCTTTGGGTTCTTTGTTTGTTCCACTTTCTCTTCCCTTGATAATAAACCAATTATAATGAGAATGCAAGCGACATAGATATCGGATAAATTAATATCAGATAGCTCAAGCAAAGTGTTGGGGCTGATAAGACGAAAATAGTCCGATGGAAGCGGTCACCATCATGCGTGTCTTTTCAAGTACGTAAGATCTCCCCCCCCCCTCTCTTGTATTTTTCCTATCTATTAATAAACGGAGATGCAGCAGCTACAAAAACACACGCTGCACCTTGCGACTTTAAATAACAATTATTATGTTACATAATTTCCCGTCGGCAGAGTCCTGTGAACCGTCTCCCAGGACTTCTGGACCTCTCTCATTGGCTCCAGCGAGATTCTTTGTAATCACGTGGCCCAGAAATGTGGACTGCGGCCAGGGCATCACACTTCTAATCACGCAGCCACACCACTTGGAAAAAAGGAAAAGACTTGTTCACATTGAAACGTACCTCCGTCAACATAAACCCTTGCAGTGTGCATACATGTGCATGGCTGTTGAGAGGCGATGTCACAATTTTGGGTCTTAGAATTACATTCGGTCACGCGTGGAATACCTTACGTACTCTCATGCGCAACTTACGCAGCAACCAAGATTAATCTCACAACGTGCTGTTTTTTTTAGATTTGAAGTTTACGTGACTGCAAGGATCCATACTCTTTGGTTTTTTCTGTAAAGTCACGTTGGTAAAAAATCTAAAAGAAATGAAAAATGAAAACAAATAAATTAAATCACGACGTTTCGGGCGCAACACAAGCGTCCTTACCTACGTGACTTTACTGATACAACCAAAGAGTATGCTGTTTTCTGTTCTAATCTTGAGACATGGAATGAAGTATCATCATGATCATCAGTAGCCAGAGTAAATCCGCTGCTCGATGAAGGCCTTCCCAAGCCGCCCCCATTTCATAGAATCCTGCCATATGATGATCCACCTGCACCCGCACGTGAGCTCATCTCATCGTTCCATCTCCATGGCGGGGCGTTTAAAAAGTAATATTTTATTACACACAGTTTGTGCGAGTTAAGAAAGCTATCGAACACGAGGGGAAACGTATATGAGCCTGGAAATTTGATATATATATGGCATATAGTACTGTGAAAGTATGGGATTTTACACCATTGGAACCTCATTTGCCAGTAAAAAATATGATAATTGGTTTTTTACCCTTCTATCTGGCAAAGGTGTCAGTTTTGTTGCCAGATAGAAGGGTAAAAAACCAATTCTCTTATGGGATGTTACGCAATAATGTATTACAAATATATACAGTATCATACAAATAATTCCACATTCTGGGGGAATTATCCATCATTAATATAAAATACTGTTGCTATACCTTTCTTCTGATGTATAGAAATTTAAAAGTAACATGCCATTATTTATTACATTTCATGTTCCGAATGATTTTGATCGTGTTTGCCGCTGTATTGATTGGTAGGTGTTGTAAACCTACACCATTGTTACACAATTTAAATGTTAAGGTACTTTCCGCCGAAATTATGACATGTCTGTTTTCCACTTGTTCATTTTTATATAGTTTATGGTATAGCTTTGCCGTCAATCCCCTGCTAGATGAATTTTTTTTTGTAACACCGTGTCATGGGTATTATTTGACCATAATTTCACCACGATGATTTTCAATGCGGGTTGGTAAAGGAGGGGTCCAAGACCTAACCAGAAAACTATAGACAGACATATAAGCAGACAGATATCACCAAGATACATAGAGAGAGCAACACAGGTTGGTGATATCTGTCTGCTTATATGTCTGTCTATACAGTTTTCTGGTTAGATTTTATGTTGCTATTTCATTATACCTGATGATGATTGCTTGTGTTGCAATCGAAACGTCGTATGCTATTATTTAATTTATTATTTTATCTGTATACGTGACTTTACCGAAAAAACCAAAGAATAATTCCTGCAGTCACGAAAGCTCCAAAATTAAGATTGGGTCCAGGACCGTTTCCAATATAACCTGCCGCTAATGTTAGCCATGGACGAGAATCAAACTCAGATTGCCAGGTTCATAGCACAGAGTGCAAACTACTGCACCACCGTCACCCCCTTCGCACATAGCATACCCACGAACGCCTTCGCAATGGGGTTTCTTATACATAGTTAACGTGCTGCAATGTTTTATTAGTTTAGTGTGAGAAGCATATTTTCTTCGCATCGGGACTTCAATGTGAATGATGTTTTAGTGGCACAGCAGGCAAACAAAATACTGGCACCTTTATGAAAATGAACCCTATTTCCAGTTAATGCATTTCATCTGTTCTTGTGAACAGCGCTCGTGGTTCATTAAAGCCATGTACGACCGGTCATGCTGCTTGACCAGCTGTTGGCATGTTCAATCAATCATGCTGGAATATAATCGCGAGAACTATCCGCAATGAACACACGTGGCGTGTAAACAGGTAGAGATTTCCACGGCTCTGCCGTGCATTTTCAAACATTAAATAGTACACGCATGTATTATTGTTTTAACAAAGGAGTTGTTACAAAACATTAGTGCATGTATTACATTTATTCACCTGTAAATTATCACTTAAATAATTGTATATATATTTGTATGACGATGATTCGGGAATACACAAAAAACACATTTTATTTGCATGAATCTATAAAGTCAGTTATTTTGCGTGTGTTTATATAATGTAATGTGAAAACATTGATTGGCCGGCAAGCACACACGTCACTTAAAGAAATGTTATTTGCTGTGCCATACATCATCAGGTTTTAACGAGCATAGCAAAGAAATATCGCACTTATATAATCCTTTTCTCACGCTATTAATACAGCGCTATCCGTGTCCTTCCCATTCCGACGTGTTCCTCTTCAGTTGAGTCGCAGTGAAATAGTTAAGTATATCTATGTACATGCGCGCGCTAAAAAGAAGAAAAAAACACATGATATTCAGCAAACCTACAGCAAGTAAGTTGCCTGACCAGCAGAAACCACATTCACACAGCACTATTCAGCCTCTCGAGTCCCAGTCTCGCGCATGTGAAAGCGCGTTTGCGGCGTTAAAAAAAAACCGCCTTCCTAATCCGCGCACTTTCCACGGTGAGAAATACATTTTGTAGCAAATCCTGGCTCTGCGAAAGAAACGCCGGCCAAAGCAAAGCAGACCGGGCTTGAATCGCGGCACAATGTTCGACGTTGTCGCATCCCCGTCGACCCTTGAAAAGAAGAAGGCGATGCAGCGGTAACGGCGCAGACGCGAGCGGCCGAGCGTCAACAGCCCAAGGCGGATTTATCTTTCCCTGCGCAGCTGACTTACCGGCCACGGGCGAGGGCTTCTTCAGCACGACCCATCGCGTTTTCCACTGGACGAACAAGACAGAGTTACCGAGGGAGAGGGAGAGTGTCGTTGTTGAAAAATTAATTGGAACTCACAAAAAAAAAGGAATAAGAAATGTAATAACAAAAAGGAACGCAACAAACCTTTTTCCCTTCCCTGAGTTTCACGGAGCCTTCAGCTACCACGACATCAGTCATCTTTCGATCGGGGCACACACGGATACATTTTCAAGCCAGAGTTTAAAATTAGTCTCAAAGGGAGAGGCCCCGGTGCCTGCCAACTCAGGCCTTAGCGCTGCCCCCGAGAGGAATCCCCGAGGCCCTGCCCGAACCACAAGCAGCCCTTGATTCATGCCACGTCGCAAGGAATCGCTGAGCGTACAGTAATGAGAGCACACTTTCATAAATGGGAAGTGGAGGAGGACACGGGCACTCTATCTGTCAATGGCAGCATGGCGATGCCACCAGATGATCCGTTGTTTAATGCTGCAATTACTCCGAGCCAGACTCGAGGCGCATAACCTATTTGTAATGCATGTTGTGAATAATATTAAAAGCAGTTATGCATTGCAGTGCCGCAGTGCTGTGATTTTTCAGTATAATGCGGTTTCAAATCATTGATAAAGCTTTCATTGGTAGATAGTTTTTTTTAAATATATTCTATATGCGAAGTGAGTGCAATTTTGGTTTTGAAAAAATGGTTGGTGAATGGAGCATGACCCTGCTCCTGCAATTTTTTTTCTTTTCAGATGTTGTCACTTAGATGGCAGATTGTATCATGTTATTAAAGATGGTGGTGGAGCCCGAATTATAACCACACATTAGAAGAACATTATCTCCTTTTAGTATTTTTGTCCACTGCGATTTGGGCGATCACTGCACAAACTGTGGTCACACTTACAAATGGGCGGAATGACTGCAATCGCATGTGAACATGTTTGCAATGACAAAATAAGTGGGACGCCAGTTGGTGGTTCAGCTTCAACATTGTGTTGACAGGATGATTTGAGATGACGGACAAGTCGAAATTAAGCACATATCAGTGGCTGTGCGGATTCGTGTGTGCAGAGTTGATTGAGTAATCCATGACAAGTTCAATAACCAAGAAGTTTGTGCTCAACAGGTGTCAAACATTACACGAGTGAGGTCATAAAGAAAACAGGACTTGTATCTGTGGTGTCTCATTGGCTATGTTTGTGTGTGAAATCAATGCATTTGTTTTTATCTCAAAGCAGCCATTTGCACACATTTGTAAATGTTTCCACAGTTCGCATGATTATTGAAATGTTGCAGGTTGATTCTTGAATAAAGTATGAATTGTCGTTATACCCTCAGGGGACACAAACATGAAAAGCAGATTGCTGCTCTTATAATGTGCAGTTGTGCAAGGGCGTTGCCATTTTTGATCACGTGATATGTTTGCAATTTAGTGGCACAATTTGGAAATACAGATGAGAACCAGGATCGTGCCCCGTTCACTATGCATTTGTTTACATATATCACGCTAAAATAAGTTTAAACTATATTAAAATTGTATTTGCTTACTGAAACATATAACACAATAATTGCAAGCAATTTTCTTCTTCACGTCTGTATTATTGATTTGCATTGTACATTGCAACGTATGATTGTGTTGGTGGAAATTGCTCACACAGAAGGCAACAACAGTATAGCATGCATTTACAAGACTTCATGCAACACATCATACACAAACGGATAAAACAATAGATGAATGGTACTGCACTCGATATGAATATACATACATACACTGGGATTCTGTCAGTGGTTTAATGGCGAGCACACCCGGAGATTAACCGGGTCAAACTCCGCGCAACGGAAGTTGGAACAATGAGCAAGTTCCTTCAGCACCCGCAACTCTGTCCACACAGCAATATGTGCATGGGTAAGCCACAGTCGATCGGCAGATTGTGCCCTATGGTGTGATAAAGTAAGGGGCCGTCCATAAATGACGTCACGCACCTGGGGGGGGGGGTCAGACATTTGTGACGATGTGAGACGAGAGGGGGGGGGGTGAGAAATGTGACGTCACATAAAAATGCGCAACTTTAATAAATATAGATAACACGTTCTACTTAATTAAATAGACTTTTTAATAATTTTTTTCTCCTACAACATCAGAGCGCAGCGCCACATCAAATACGCACTACAATGACAATAGTTTAAAGCGATTTGAAGCATGTTTTTTTTTTTGGGGGGGGGCAGAGCTTTGTGACGTCATATTTGAAGGGGGGGGTCTCACTTTTTGTGACGCCGTGTGACGATGGGGGGGGGGGGGGGGTCAAAAATCGTCCAAAATCGCGTGACGTCATTTATGGACGGCCCCTAACCACATTTTCGAAGACTTCTGACCAGCGTGATGGAGTCGACCAAAATTCTCTCTAGACGGGTACTCAAGACCGACCTCTAGTGGAAGCTCTTTCACCAGCCGTGAGAAATTCGTTGCAGGGGCTTGCACATTGGCCTCCTGGCGAACGGGCACATGTGGGACACTCATTCCACTGGAAAGTTATGGATGTACAGTAACTCACAATATACAGGAAGGTAAGGAAACATCTGCTGGCAGTGCTTTACAGAAAATACGTGGCAATGGTGTACAGTATTGTATTGTATGTTTTTACCAAACCAAATGACATCATTGGCCTCCCATTCCACCCTTGCACACTTATGCACACTGTAAAAGAGTTAAAATCATCCAAACGTGTGTAAACGTTAACAATAGATTCATGTTATTTAACTAAACGTTTCCAACAGTACATTTCCTTTGAAACAAGAAACAAGAGTGATGACATGAGCCGCAATTACATTTCACTATCGGCGTTTGCAAAGCTGCTGCATTCTTTTTTTTGCGGGGGGGGGGGGGGTGGAATAGGCAAATGCCACTTAAAATCTGAGACAAGTCGTTGTATCGTAGCGAACACAATTTGGTTCAAAGTAACAGCCTCCGCGGGCTGACGAGCGAAACGCATTAATGTGGCCGCTATTCTTGGTAGCGACGCGTATAGCTCTGCTCTCATTATAATCTTCGCAGGGGCTCGCTTGCTTAATTACAGAGATCACGGCGATGCCTTTCCAAACAGTTATCCGTATCCGTGTTGCCACACTTGTGCTCTGGTTGTAAAAACATTGGTCACGCTAGCATGCGGGAGATTGCTAATTTTTGCAAGGGTGGCACAGTCGGGGTTTTTACAACCGGGTTTAATTGTGTTTTTATATTAAACCCGATCATCTGAGATTGGGAGAAATCCGGTTTAATTGGTTCTAATTGTAGAACCGCACTTCGCCAACTTCTCAACGATGGGCTTCATCCATTCCAAGCTAAGGAACTCACTGGCGCCCACGATTGTGGAGAAGATCGTGTTCATCACGACCAACCTGCCCGCCGCATTCTACGACTACCCCGTGCCCGACGGCCCCCGAGTACGATAGCAGCACCGACGAGGAAGCAGCCTAAGCCTTGGATCAGAGTTTCGTATTCATTAAACCAGGTTTTAATTCCCCGAAATCGGGGTTAATTGTATTAAAGAAAAAACCCGATGCCTGCCGCTGGAAAAATCGGGTTTTTTCCACCCATTCATTTTTGCCGTTATGCCTTCGTCCGTGGGTAAAAAAAAAAATATCTCCCAAAGATCACGTTTGCCGCAAAGCGCTGAAGCCAATCGCAGTTTTCGCCACTCTTGGCGAAGAGCTGGTTTCCCACGTAGGTGTGTGTACGTCAACTCAAGCAATGTCTACGTGTGCATTTCCATGCCCGTGGCCTTTATCAAAGTGGTGCCACATGGAAGCATGGTGAAGTAATGTTTTCCATGGCATCAACCGCTTATTGTAGGAATAAAAAAAAAACGTTTTACACATTGCTCGCATACATTCAAAAACAGTGCCATGGATACCCACATACACAATTAAATGGACTTTAGAAGGTAAGCAATGTTTCCAAGCATGGGAAGCGGTGGATATAATTTATGAAGTCGGTTGAATGAACTTTTCTTCTACATCTTGAAATAAAGTACAGTACTAATTTTTTTCACCTTTTTCAATTATCATCGGCCATAATTAACCTACTCGTCTCCACAAGCCACCTCCGTCTTTCGCAGTGCTGTGAGATAACGAGCACCAGCACACGAGCCACTATCTTTGCTCCATCTCCGCATTGTACGTCCTCTCAGGCACGTCCCCTGCCTCCCTCTTGAACATACCTCGATTATTTAATCCACGTGTTCCCCTGTCTCTCATCTCTCAAATGTATTGCAAACTTGCATCTGGCCATGCTTATTTGTGCACTTACCAACGTTTCGTTCCATTTTCTTTGTCCAAGTTTGGCATCAATGCCATAGTCGGAAATATTGCTTAATTACTTTATATTTACCACATTAACTACAAGAGGTGGAATAATGCATCGATTCAGGAATCGACATTCTTAAGCTGACAATTCAATTATTGAATTGTGTAAGAATGGCCTTTTTATTTAATATTTATATTTCCGTCGCCTGCAATGGGTTCACTTGAACCCTGCAGTTACCAGCGGAAATTAGGTTCATGACAATATATGAATAATTATTCAATAAAGTCACAGCACTGAATTTTATCAATGAATTTCATCTCTGATGGGAGGTAAATTGTTATACCCCTACTGAGTACAACATGTTTAAGATACAAATAATGAGGAGTATGGATTAAGATGTTTAAAAAAAAACAATGACATGTATTGAAATTACATGTGGTTCACAGCCTATTATTATCTACACGTTCTATTCCATACAGTACGTGTAAATAGAACACTGACAATTAGTACATTACTGAATCTTAACTCAAACATATCACACTCTAGTCACATGAGTGCAGTCTTTTAAAATCGTACAGATAGAGCAAAAGCTTAGGCAATTTGCGACACTCTCGGGATATGCTCAATAGAAACAGATTACAACTGCAATCCAGCATACAAGGGGGCGAGCGACGCTTCAAGTGGTTTGTTAGGCTAAGATATAGACCTTGCACCTGTATCGAAGTTTATCTGGTACCTCTTGCTCTCATATTATATTAGCACTGTTTGTTAATTCTCGTGTTTTGTTTACGACCGTTAAATAACTCGTTTGTTCGTGGTGCAATGATCCTTAAAGGCCCTATACTAATTCTCTACAATATTGATATTTTGTTGTTGTTGCTGTATTCACGCATCACGGAACTGTCGTGTAAAATAGCCGGATAACTAGCCAGACGGGATCATCCGTGTAACAAAGCAAAATCAACTGAACGAAAATAATTGGCAAGTAATATCTGAATGCATTACATGGAACGAATGCGA